GCCTGATTGGTAGTCTTCTTACTTGTACTTCCATGATCTTTCTTAGAGTGGCGGCAGTCAGAAGCTCGATGTCCAATCTTGCCACAGTTATAGCATTTTTCTTTAAACTTCTTACTACTATCGCCTTGTTCAAGACCATCTCCAATAAACTTCCTCTTTTTGTTATGTGGTTTATGAACTTATTCAACCACATTAGCCTTGAACTCAATGGGATTTTTCCCATTCCTCTTTTCAGCCTTACGGTTATCTTCCTCAATTCTCAGTCTTACAATAAGTTCATCCATGGTCATCTCTTTGCGTTTATGTTTTAAATAATTTTTGAAATCTTTCCAAGCCGGTGGTAACTTTTCCACTAAAACAGCGACTTGAAAAGACTCGCTTAGAGACATACCCTCAGAATGAATATCATGTAAAATTAATTCAAAACTTTGAACTTGAGAAATTACCGTTTGGGAGTCAACCATAACAAAGTCCAGAAATTTACCGACAACAAATTTCTTCGTGCCGGCATCCTCTGTCTTGTATTTCTTCTCCAAAGAATCCCACAATTCTTTTGCTGACTTCAAAGGACTGTAAACATTATGCAACATGTTGTCAAGGCCATTGAGGATGTAGTTTCTGCACAGGAAATCTGAATGTTTCCAAGCATCTACAGCGGCAACAACTTACTGATTACTTTCACCCTCTTTAAGTGCTGGAGCCTCTTCATGGAGAAACCGGGCCAAATTAAGAGTTGCAAGATAGAACAACATTTCTACTGTCATCTCTTAAACTCAGTACCATTAAATTTTTTCGATTTTTCTCCATGATTTATTGGTACATGAACATGGTTCTGGATAGGGACCGGTGTTGGTGTAACAATCGGAGTACCACTTCCAGTTGCAATTTCAGTAGCAGTAGCCATAATCTCTTATTATAAAAATCAAAAAAATTAAAACATAAATTAATTTTCTAGTTACTAAAACCAGAAAATAAATTATTACATAAAATAATTTTATTTTCCTTGTTATTAAAACTAGAAAAATAAAATACCACAATAATTTTCTGTAACACAAATTAATATTCTGCAATTGTTAATGACACCAGTATATTACTATTAATTGTCAAAGAAAAGAGACAGTATATTACTATTTGTCAAAGAAAAGAGACAATATATTTCTGTCAAATAGCATAAACCACTATTTGTTTTTCCAACCAGAATATGTCTTTATGAAATCACAGAAAATTAAATACAATGAAGATACCAAAAAATAGGTTTGTCTTAAGATTGTAGGACAATCTTCACTGTAATTAATTAATTTTGTTTGTGTACTTAACAACAAACAGAATAACAAAGAAATAAAAGAAATGAGAGAAAATTTGTTTGATTACAAAAACCAAACTAGAAATAGAAATAAATAAATAAAAACAGATTTTATTTTGTTACAAAAACAAAATTAAAATCTAATTTAAATAAATAAATAAAACAGAATAATATATTAAACAACTTACTTGATTAATTTCTTCGAATAATAATCTGATCAAGTCCAGTGTTTGACACTATGTCATTAAGACAGATTCGTCCTCTCCACGGTGTTTTCAGAATGTGGACGTCTATCTCCCAGGATGAAATGATCAATTACAAACAATAGTAGCACTACAAATTATTTGCCTTACGAACACAATAAGTGTTTACTCTCTTTGTTTCAGAAAATAAATGCAGCAAAATGCAGAGATTTATATCAGAGGATGGAGTACGAAAATTGGAGTTAAATCCAAATGGGAGGCTGGTCTTTATAGATGTAAAGGTGCAGGTTTTGAATTAAACAGGTGCAAACCTGTTTGAACAGGTATGAAACCTGTTTGGTTTTGAATTTAAATAGATTTGAATCTGTTGGGTTCACAATTCAAACAGATAAAAAACGGGAAGGGCCCTGTTTGGGTGTACAATAAAACCGAACCAGTTTATTTCCGTAATTAATTTGAGTTCTAGATTTTATTTTACCAAAAAATAAAATAAAATTCAAATGTTTTTGACCCAAAAAGATAGGTATTGGGCCGAACAAGCCCAACCACACACCACGCACCCGTGCTCAAGCCCAGCCCGCCCGACCGGAAGAACGGCGGCGGCGGGCACACGCGTGTGGTGATTTTTGGGTCCAATGGGTCTAGCCCATTTTGCCCATAACCTCCCTCTCTAAAACACTTGGGTACCCCTTTGTAATAACGCTGACCCGTAATTAGCTACTAATCAGTGATTAAAGATGCTAATTGAGTGGATCAAATGAATTATGGGATTAATATGTAAATTGCATGATATTTGGCCTTCTATCTGTTACTTATAGAAATATCTGTTTGGAATCCCACTTTAATATGTAAATTGAAAGCCTTCTCGGCATCCAAAGCCGAAATTAACTACACCGATACGTTATTTGGAATTTTTAGAACCTTATGGCAAGTTTTATTAAAAATTGATTCAGAACGATTAATTGGGTTATGTTTGATTAGCCTAATGTTCTAATTAATGTATTATAGCATCATAAATATAAATATGAGCCCTTAAGCTCATTCTTGAGCTCAATTCTCTCATTTATTAGTGCCAAAATCTGAGAATTTGTTTTAGAGAGAGAGAGTGTGCAATTCTAGAGAGAGGGAAGAAGAAATTCAAAGTAGAGTTGAGGATTTTGCTTGAGTTTATCAATTTTGTGCAAGAATCTAGTTAATTCAAGACTATAGGTATGAATTCAACCCCTAAATTATGAATCTAAGCTGTCAACATGGAGATTATGTGTTTAAGGATGTGTTTTGAGCTTAGAAGGAAGATTTGAGTGACAATTCATGCATGCATGTATATTTTCTTACAGATTGAACACGATTTCCATGAATCCTCTTTTGCATGTTTGAAATTCATCTTCATTTAGGGAAATCATCAAGTCTCAAGTTGTTTTGTGGTGTTTGATCATGTTTTGGGAAGCTCTAGACCAAGAAAACCCATGCATGTTGTGTTCATGAACATTCATCATGTTTTAAGTTGAAATTGGGAACTTTTGGCAAACCCTTGGGCCATGATTTTATGAAATGATCCTAAATTCTTCATGTTTTACAAGTTTACTATGTTATCTCAAGTTTTGGGGCCCAAGAGATGTGTTTTGAAGGTTGGAATTCGAGTTTTGAGCTTGAAGGTGCAATTTGGAAATTCCAGAATTTGCATCTACGCTCGAGCGTGGGAGTTCACGCTCGAGCGACCAATCTGAGTGCGTGCACTCCGCTTGAGCAACCAAAAGTCCGCTCGAGCGTGAATTGCAAGCTCCCAGAAGTTTCATGTCTTTTACAGATCGCTCGAGCGAAGGAATGTGCGCTCGAGCGACCATTCACATTTTGTATGTCCGCTCGAGCGAGGAAAGCTACGCTCGAGCGTGGACCTTATTTTCAAAAATGTTGCCTAAGTGTTCCAAGGCATGTTTTGGCATCCCCATTGCATCTTAGGCATTCCTAAGCCTTTATTAAGCCATAGTAATGAGGGTATGGATTAGAAACACACTAAGAAAAGAATGTACTAAGTTTCGAGACTGCAAGTGTGTGTGTTTTAGGCAATGTGATAAGAAAGATTAAGAACCAATGTAATGAAAGCTAAGCCTTAATGGCCACTTGAATGTGTAATGATAAGACGTTCTTGTGTTATGTATTTTGTGGTTGTAGGTCAAGACTCGAGGATTGATTGACCGCTTGCTGGAACCACTGTGAGTAATGTTATAGTAAAGATACGTTCACATGAATTATGTTCTAAATGAATTATGATAAGTTACTATTTCTGAAATGATATCTGTTTTCTTGAACTAACATCTCAAATTTGAAATCTATTATGGCATCCATAGATAGTCCCAAGTCATTGGAGACAGCATAAAAATGCAGGTCCATGACATACAAGTTTACGAGATCTCGTTAGCCACTTCATTGTGGTGATATGTGTTTAATCAGTATCTGGAACCGATTACTCTAGTCGGAAGACGTTCTGTAATGTGTTTTATAGGATGTACCATTATTATGTTCTGATATGAGAATGATTATGCTCTGGTCTGTTTTCTGCGTATGATATATTCGAATTTCGTTCACTAACCCCTTTACCTTAATGTTATTCACTGGGTTTTAGCTCACTGTTTGTATATATATATATATATATATATGTATAGGTGAGCATTCTGGAGTTCGAGCCTAAAGGCTTTGTTTGGATTTGTGTTCCATTGTTAGCCAACCATTGTGCCTCACGTGAAGGTTCTCGAAGCGTCCTGTGTTTAAGTTATGTGGTTTCTGTTTATATAAGACTTAATTTGATGTCATTGGCTGTACTTAAAATACTGTAATGTGTGTGGGTATAATGTATGGTTGACTACCAGTTATGTATATAAAGTTTTAAATATTCTGTTTCATATAAGTCAGCACAGCTCATTGGACAACTATATTTATATATTAGCTTCCGTTAGCCCCTTAATTTTGTTAATCTGTTCAGGGGCCTTCGATAATCCAAGGATTACTGGCCGGTTACGATGCTAAACCTATAGGGGCGGGTTTGGGTCGTGACAGAGTGGTATCAGAGCACGAGTTATACCCCACACACGTGTCCATATGAGCTATAGGATGTCCTAGAAATGAAATAGGGACATTGCACTATCATGTGTAATTATGTGAGCTATTATGACCATGTCCTTATTGAAAATGAATTGAAATGAAACATTTGTGTATGATCAAAGAAGTTAAGTGGAACAACATGTAATATTGATTTCGATACCGAATGTGTAATTCTTGTAAACGTGATCTTATGAACGAGAAAAACTGCGTGACCTATGTGAATATATTTAAGTTGAGATAAAATGACGAATGTAATTGATATGAACTGAAACATGAAGCCAGTAAGGACTATACCAATATTGATAATCACCCTGTTTGTGTGTAGACAAATGGAAAGGGCAAGGAATGTAAACGAATCTAAATCTTCTTATGCTAGAATTAGCCGGTTATAAAGAATGGTCAAAGCCTTAACTGAATCTTTGAGTCAACAACAACAAACGCAAATACATGTACCTGAACTAGCTAATTATGATTTGATAACTTTGGCACAGAAATACAATAAGATGAAACCACCGGAATTTGAGGGGGGTATTGAACCTTTGAAAGCTGAGGCTTGGGTTTTAGAAAATGAGAAAATATTTGAGGTATTTCCGTGTACTGAAGCGCATATGGTTTTGTTGGCGACATTCACACTTAAAGAAGAAGCTAGGAGATGGTGGATGTTAGTACGAAATGATAATGAGGGTACGACATGGGATAGATTTAAAGAAATTTTCTTCGAAAAATATTTTTCCCAATGCATCCGAGATAGGAAGGTATCCGAATTTGAACAACTAAAACAAGGCAATATGACTGTGGCTGAGTATGAAGCAAAATTTACTGAACTAGCCCGATATGCACCCCGCATGATAGATACTTACTACAAAAAGGCTAGAAAATTTGAAGGTGGGCTTGACCTAGATGTGTATGACTGAGTTGGCGTTTTAAAATTGCCGAAGTACGTGGACGTTCTTGATAGGGCCTTAATGTCCGAGGCAAACATAGCAGCCTTGAGAATATCAAAATCAACATCATCAACTGAATCAGAAAGAACGAAACAGAAGAAACAGAAAGTTGAAATGACTAGTAATTCAATGGTCTCTGTGAATGAAAAATCTAAGGCGATAGCTTTAAACAATGAAGGTCGAGGAAGCAATGCGAACAATGGTATACCTAGTTGTAGAGAATGTGGGAAACAACATTGGGGCACTTGTCGCCGCCTATCAGGGGCTTGTTTTAGATGTGGTCAGAAAGGGCACTTGGCTAAATCTTGCCCGCGAACTCATCCGAACAACACTAAGCCTAATGCTAGTATAACTGGTTCTATTCCTACACCCTAGTTCCAGAAAATGCTCGGAATACTGGAACAACTGACGCAAGTATTACCTTAACTATGTGCAATTGTTTATATGAAAATTTGTGTGGAAGGTGTACATTCCTTAACTTGATATAGATTGCGGACATGTTAATTAGACCAATTGAATTATTAGAATTATGAACCCTAGTTATTGACTATCTTGAAGACTTGCTATTTAATGTAAATTTTATGTGAGATGCTCGAAACCCTATAACGAATCACTTGAGCCTTGGGAATTGTTGAGACTTATGGACAATGAGAACTTGCTGGGTTAAATCCTTGTACCGTATTGCAAAATTTAATATAAACTGTTAGGCATGACCTTTGAACTATGCTAGAACCATTGAACATGGGAACACATCATGATTGACTATAGTTTGGGAAATCCGTACGATCATGACTTGAACTGAACTGTTATATATTGACTGACATCATCGAATGATTAGACCTGTGATCTCAAATTGTATACATAAATCAGTCACGTGGGGAATTTCTGGAATTGAGAACCTATGTCAGTTTGGAAGAATGAACTTTTGCTTATGAATTTGTGAATAAATGTCTAAATGATAATTGATTCTAGACTCGTATCTGTATACACATGTCCTTGCTTGTAATACTATTAGAATTGATGGGATTGAACTGGGGTTAATGAACACTTTGAGACCTACTGCCTGATGTGAACGATATGTGTGACGCTGTAGACTCTTTTGTGTAACAACTGCCTATGCTATGGAGAATGTTTGGACTTATGTATATATATATATATACCTTTACTTGGGATGTTGACTGATTCGAACTCGACACACTCTTTGTGTCCGCTACATTTGTATCTAAACTGAGTAGACTTATGACTTGTTGCCTTAACTATTGTATTTGGGGAAACTGTTTTGTGTTCATCTGTACATAGACCTTGTGAATCCATATTGGGAAGGTTATTAGACTTTGGACATGTATATATATGACTATACCGTTGCCCAGAATGATTGATATGATTATTTGTTAATAACTTGACTGTTGGGACCATGACTCTGGGAAATTGTTATATTGACTGTGATGCTTACTTCTTGATATGAACAATGACATATCTGTGCACCCACATGTGAACTTACTTGAAGAATGTAACATTGTATATGACCTAAACTCTTCGATATGAACTATTATGATACATAACTCTGATGTGATTTGAGAACCGAGGAACTTAGAACAACTGTAGAACTACTGACTATGCACCTAAGCGAATGGAGTATGAACTATAGAACCAAATGTGCTTCGCTTGGAAATAATAAGGATAGAACTTTCACCTGATCTAACCTGATAGAACCATGGTTTGATGAGACCTTTGTTTAACTGATGGAACTTCTGTTTGATCAAAGGCAAATACATGTACCAAAAAGAGTTATCTGGAGTCACAGACAAGGCAGTAGGAGGTGGTGTACCAGAAGTGGAGAAAAACTGTTTGAACATGGCCTTAACATTAGTTTGGAAAAAGATAGGGGCAAACAAATCATGAGACTCAGATAAATCCTTAGAGGCAGCGGCAACAGTGCAATGAGCAGGCAAAGACTGATTCCCGAAATGATGTGAGCTACCCCTGGAAGAGCCACCGCGAGAGGAGTGGCTAGTAGAAGATGACCGAGATGGATTGCGAAAACAATCCTGCTACAGATGACCAGGACCAAGTTTGTCGCAATATCGGTAGGATTTGACAAGGCAATGAACCAGAAGATGACTAGAAGAAAGGCTCCGTCCTGACAATAGATGCAGGTAGTGGACCGTTGGGTCGGTGAGGGCTGTGACTGAGGAGTAGCAAGAACAGAATCCACATAACGAGTCTAGAGAGTACCAAGACGAGTCTCCTCAGATAATAGGTCAGAAATACCTTGCTCAAGAGTGCACAGCAGAAGGCGATGAAGAAGAAATGCACGCACAGGCTCAAAATAGGGAGTGAGAGGCATGAGAAATTGAACCAACCGCTGCTGATTACGATATGTAGTGAATAAAGCAGCATCTTCACGGTGAGGCCATACCAGTTCGGAGAGACCAAGCTGGTCCCAAACAAAATTCTTCTGAGAAAGAAAATCATTAATAGACTGACTGGATTCTTGACGCATGCGATGAAGCTGACTTTGAAGTTGATACTGATGGGCAAGACCAGTAATCTAGTATCGTTCTTTCAAAAAATCCCAAATATCTTTAGTAGGAGTGGTAATAGAGTCAAGCTGAAAACGTCCAAACTAAAGACTAATAGAAGTAACAGAGGTATTTCGAAGCCAAGTAATGATCTTGTAGTTCTTACTGTCCTAATCTTCTAATCGACCTTTATACTTAGCAGCAGTTTCAGCAGCTTCTTTTACAAGTTTGGTCACATCCCCGGTGATAATACGCCAGAGTTTCCTACATTTGCGTAAGGAAGATATGGCTTGGGCCTACCGAACATAATTGGAGCCATCAAGAAGTTGATACTGATGAGCAAGATCAGTAATCTAGTATCGTTCTTTCAAAAAATCCCAAATATCTTTAGTAGGAGTGGTAATAGAGTCAAGCTGAAAACGTCCAAACTAAAGACTAATAGAAGTAACAGAGGTATTTCGAAGCCAAGTAATGATCTTGTAGTTCTTACTGTCCTAATCTTCTAATCGACCTTTATACTTAGCAGCAGTTTCAGCAGCTTCTTTTACAAGTTTGGTCACATCCCCGGTGATAATACGCCAGAGTTTCCTACATTTGCGTAAGGAAGATATGGCTTGGGCCTACAGAACATAATTAGAGCCATCAAGAATAACAGAAATTGGATGGGAGGCATCATAGCGATCCATAATAATATTGTGGTAGGACTAAATAAATAGAAACAGAACTGTAAGAGCAAAATTAGGTAAAACAGATCGTACTAATAAGTCCAAAAGGTTGAAAATAGCTAGAAAAGGGCTTAATGGTATAGAGATGACGTCGACAAGAGGCTGAATGATGCCAACAGAGGCACGGTGCACAATAGCAGAAGGAGCCGGGGCTCATAATAGCAGTAAGAGGCGCGTGGTGCACATTAACAGAAACGGCGCACGCGGGTACACAGTAGTAGAAAATGGCGCACATTGGTGCACAATAACAGGAGCAGTGCACG